CTTTTGAAACGCAATAACTTTTTTTAAAACTACACTAAATACTTTGAACTTTTTTTTAGATGATAGAATGGTCTACTGGACGATGACCAAAATGCTTTTTTTTTAATTTTTCTACTACTTGGTATGACAAAAAAATAAAAATCTCTCGTTTTTTAACTTTTTTATCTGAGCCTATAACGAAAATTTAAAAAATGTCTTTCGTAGATCTCGATAACTTGTATGCATATTGAAAATTTTATCGAAACCGGTTGACCTTCTTATGAGTTATAACAAATTGAAGATCGCAAAAATCGCAGTTTTATCATGACTTTGACCAAAAACTGTAAGAAATCCGCAGTTTTTAAAATCCTTCAACGCCTGTAGCTCGACTCCGGGTTAACCAATTTTGATTGAATTTGCAACACACATATAAATTACCAAGATCTACAAAACTTATCTTTTAAACTTTCGTGATAGGCTGAAATAAAAAAAGTAAAAAAGCGAGGGTTTTTAATTTTTTCTTTTCATTCCAAGTAATAGCAAAATTATAAAAAAGCTTTTTAACCATCTTCTAGTAGACTAGATTCAGAAAATTCAAGTCATTCAGTTCAGTTTTAAACAAATTATTACGTTTTAAAAAGTGTACGAACACTTTTGTGGGTCACTGTACATACATTAAGGTCGTTAAATTAGTGAACCCTTTAGGGTACATTCTGGTCACTTCCTATAATCCGAAGAACGCGAGCAGTGGAAAGATTCGAAGCAACTCGTAATTTGCGATTGCTTGTGCTATGCGTGCTCTTCGACTAGCTGACTCCGTTATCTTCCTGAAGGCTCGATAATCGACCTACCAATCAAGCTTAGATGCGGTTGCAATCAATCAATCCATCCTTGGTTCGCGGAACGTTTACGAGGGCCTGTTTTAATGCTCAGCCCGCGCTCTAATTACTGCGATTCCATCTAATATGTCTGAAGGGAGCCGCTGTCCGTGATATGACTCTCGAGAATTCTCCGAAAACCGTAATCCCGGATGTTTCCTATAATCCTGGGATCCACGTGAAAAGGATCTACCTTCTAGAGCTATCCAATAGCAAATCCAATATTTCGACCTAGCGTTTGCGCGTGTACGTGCACGTCTGTACGTGGCCGGTATTGGCACACTATCTCGCAAACATTCCGAAACCGTATGAGTTACCGAGGACTTCAGTTTTCCCCGATCAGCGCAAACTTTGTCTTTGCCCCGTCGAAAACGTCCGACATCGAGTAAGCAAAGTCGAACTACCGACGTTTATCTCGATCATTTTGACTAGCAACAGTGTGCTGGATCATTTGCAAATTTTCTTCAAACCATATTCTTCGTTGCGAATGCTTTAAGCCTTTGGAGTCTGATTCATTTTTCGTTAATTTGCGCTATATCTGAAGTCAAGTTTTACGTACATGTAGATGCTAATAACAAGAAATGTTGATTTTATTAGTATTGGTTATCCCTTTTAGACGCCGAGGACTGGGACATTGGTTACATGTAAACAAACATGTGCGTGGTATGCATGCTAAGCTGGTATATTAGTGTACTGTGGAAAAACGGGATTCATTTCTCCCAATAGGCGTACGAAATACATAGCTGGGACACATATGTCCTGATAGACTCCAAAAGGTTAAGGGCTAGAAATCAGTTCATTAACACGTACACAGCTGCGACGGTCGCATATGCTTAAGTGAGACTAATTTTCAACTAAATCTACAAACTCATCGTTATTGTAATACATTGAACAAACTGAATGTTACTAGGATTTTTAAAGTACAAGAGAGTTCAACTAATATTTCCTGTGCGTAAATTTTAAAATTTTCTAATTTCAGTTTCATTAATTAAATGATAACGTGTTAACATTGTCAATGTTAGACCAACGATGAATATTCGTTTCAATCGAGTTTATCTATCTTTTTCATATACGTAAAATAGAAAAATATGTAATTTTATTAAATCTATTTGTGTTAAATTTAAGAGCAGTTTTATAATTCAGTAATATTTCATCTTTTATACAATTGTTTCTAGAAATTTTAATTTTTGAATTGTCATTTTACAGTGAATAGTAAGACTTGGTGAATTCAAATTGGAGAAGAAGACTGCAGAAGCGCCTCGGAATATATAGAAACCCTGCGGCGGCGGCACAGTTGGTGAACACACAAGACGTCGTTGGTTTGAGAAATTTCGTTTAGGTGACAGAAGCTTCCACGAACAAGAAAGCAGAGGGTGCAAACCAATAGAAATTTCGAAGACTGTGTTAACGCTGTGTGCGACTTACAGACGGGTAAATAATGCTACATCTTCGGAATTTTTATTTTACTAAAGTAACCAAAATTAATATCAGTTAATTTTAATCACTAAAATTATTAACGTGGTAATGTTACAATAAAAGTCGACTTATATCGCAAAGAAAAAGGTCGAAAACCAGTCACCTGATATGCTTACAGGATCAATGATTAAGTTCAGAAAGTCTTTTCTGAACTTTTTTCATGAAAGACATGAACAGTGCAGTACTATACACTAATAATGTGGCAAGGAATTCATGGAAGCGTTTTCTTTTTCAGTAGCATTAAGGGAAACGTAGTTGACATCGGAAAGAAGATGTCAAGAATCAAATGAGGGGTATAAGTCATTGATGACATACTGTAGAGTGTTCTGTGGACACGCGAAGAGGAAGGCTACATCTACCACCAAGTATCAAGGGGTGACTTATAAATCGACACGTAGTATAGGTCGGCTCGTAGGCGAACAAATATTTTAATATCGATTGTGAACGGACAAACAGTGCAGAATGATTGATATTCAGATAAGTGGAACCGTGCTGGTTTTTGTCAAAACAAACTGTAAACCAACTGAGATTATATTCATGAAGGAACAAGCAAAATAGTTTGCAACACAAATTTGTCTCTAAACGATGTCAATGGACATGAAATGATCATTTTACGGATGGGAGTTATAATAAAAATATTGTTTGCTTTCTATCTCATTTGAGAAAACTAACTTTTGTGAGACTTTCTACTTGACAATTCGTTAATGTTTCTAATCTTTTAAAATGCACTATATTCTCGATGAAAATCTCGTGAATAAGTGATGCAGTGTTAATTTTACCTTGAAAAGTCAGTCTTGCTCAACAGGTGTTTATCAAAAGCTTACGCATTTATAATAAAAATGGGTTCGTGAAAGTTTAAGCAATAAAAATATTTAAAGGATTTGAGGACATCTACGTATTATTTCCAGCTCAATGAAATTATCAAAGAAAAAAAGAAATTTTTATGTGACACATCTTAATTTGACACACTTCATCTTAATTGATGAAGATAAATTTTTTTTTTCCATAAAATGATTTGCGGACTACTAATGTATGACCTAAAATAAAAAAAAAATGATTTGATGTAAAATTAATGTGGCCTCATTATTTCCCGATAAGGGATTTCCAACATTATATTTTTCTTCTAAAATTAGGCGAATAGCTTCTCAGTCTACTTATCAGAAATATGTGTAGAATGTAAATATGTAGAATATAAAACCATAATCGTTCTTTCGCTATTGCTACGTAATACTGTATATGTGCGTTGTTTCCAAATGGAATTAAGTTTGAACGAAGTCGCTGGTTGCCTTTATGTACACTTTAATATTACAGTACAGCTATGGTCTTAGCGATGCGTTATTTGCGTTCTATCTGCGTTCTTAGAGTTCTACGAGTTCTGGGAGTTCTAACAGTTCTGACTAACGTTCTAGGTGCCCTTCCGCTTGTCACCTCAGTTTTTTTGTTGATTGGTGGATGGTGGGTTTTGGTGGAGGAAATGAAGCGTTTTTGATTGGAGATGGGTGTGTCGGAAGGAACTTGAAATGAGGAGTGGGAAACTGTTCGAAAGTTCGGGTTGTAATTTTTCCGTTTTGTGAAATATGGAATTTATGAGTCGTGTTGTCCGTTCGTCGGATCGAAGGGTATTTTCGTTCGGATGCATTTTTTACTGTTGCAGGTATATCGCTTAATTGCTCAAGGGATGGCCAGGGACGTTCGACCTTCGGTGTTGCCGTCGCAACAAATACATTTATATTTACCGCCAAATAATAGAATCACATTAACTTTGCGCGATGCAATTTTTCATATAATCAACACCCTCTCGGCCGAAAACGATGCTTTAATTTATTGGCCCGTTGTACTTGAAATACCGCCAGAATCGATTACGCATGCTCATCCGACGTGTCGCACTGCTGCATACCAATGCAACAACAACATCCTTTCGCGATCCGCCAAGATTAATCAATCGAATGAGCTTAATTCCGTTAAAAACTGATTAGCGAGGAGGTTTAAAGCGTCCCCGGCAAGATCCTGGTTGATATTCAGATCGATGGAAAGCTCTTGGCGAAATGCAAATTGCGTACCGCGCTAAAACGCCGACTTCATTACGCGATCCCTAATTCCCTTTGACATTGTTTCAAGCCATCGGTCTTCTTAGACGGGAATCGAGCGACCGATGTTCCGGGAATTCCCGGGGGAAGCTATTAAAGCCTGCGCGGGCAAGAAAGACTTTGTATAACGCCGGAGCAATGCTACCTGCACCTACAAGTACGGCCCTCGGAGGATCGTACGTGCGACGAACGCAGATGTGGATCCGGCACACAACCAGCGCGAGCTTTTCAAGGGAACGCTCACCTACACTGCAGGAAGCTTAATTGGAAACGGCTATCCGCAGCATCCACTAACTTCGCCTTACCACCACCCATCCCCTGCCCCTCCCGCAAATGCCCCCGCCGCCACCTCTAACATCCTCCATTCTTAATCTCTCGAATGGGAATTGCCGTGAACTGTGGAGGATGTCTTCTCCCGCGATCACGGGATAACGTTATGGTCGCGTTTCGTATCTTGTCGAGATCTTAACAAACTAGTTCAGCGAGAGCTAAAAGCCCGTTCGACGAGGCCATTATGGCTCGTAGAACGTCGCTGAAATTCCACCGCCGCTGACTTATACTTCCTCATTATGGAAATCCGCGCCGATGCCGACCACTTTGTAAACCGGAATCCCCTGATCAAATGCTTCCGCGATATTTTCGTTACAGCTCCCCTCGACCATTATGATTAACCTTGCGAGCGCTGTACATTATCGTTACGCAGGGATCTTTAATCTTAGTGTTTGTGTACATGTATTCCGTGTGCTCGTATTTTCACCCGTAGAATACTGATAATTATGGTGTATTCAACGTTAACCCATTGCATTATAACGAGTTAGACTCGTCACGAAGATTTCCTACGTAATCCACTGAACACGAATGTTAGTCATTTCTTCTAAATCGAAACAGTATTCGATTCTCCCGTTATCGAAATCTGGAAATGAAAGGAAATTGATGCATACGAGATACAAAAATTGTCTCGATTTACTAGGTAATTAATGAGGGAAGTAAATTTTTCAGAAAATTCGCATCGGTAAAATTTGATACGAAATTCTCTAGAAATAGAGTAAATATTTACAACGTTATATCATTTTATATTTTCTTGAAAGCATTACTTTCTATTTCGCGAATGAATAGGTTGTAATTGTTGGTAGGTGATTCGAGGTAATTCTATGAGTTGGTAAAAGTTGAAATCAGTTCAAAGCAGTTACAAGACAGTTCTGAAACTTGTGGATCATTCTATTAAATTATAATATTGTATTATTTAAATTATTACATTAAATTATTTTATTTAATTATTAGATTATTCTTGATGACACTAATTTTATCGAAGTCGTAACAGGTCGACCAGATGTGCGTGTCTCGTAAAAAGAATACGTCGATAAAAAAGAACAACGTTCTTTCATTTAGAGCTGCGTTTATAAGATAATCAATAACGAACATTCGTAAAGTAGAAAATCTGATCACAGTCAATTCTGGATTTTGTACTCTATGCATTTTTCGTCATTTATAAGTACTTTTAGGAATTCGTAAATACATTTTTGCAATCTGTAAATATTCATGGCAGCGTTCGAAAACAATTTATGTGGTTCGAATATGTTAACATAATCAATAGGATTATTCGAAACCCGAGAAATAAAACTTGTTTATTGAAATTGCCTTCGACTCGCGGCTACGAAATATAAAATACAATATACGATACGTTCGCCGAGTGATTTCTATGCACAAGTTTTTATTGAATCAACTCAGGAATTTTAGCATATTTGGTTTTACTACTTTTCTGTTCTAAAGGAGAAACCACCCGTTTCATCCGTGTCGCTGCTTTTATTCGTGCGCTCATAAGTCGTAAAATTCAAGATATATCGAAAAAACATTTACATAAATTTTAGAACAAGTTCCGTAGATCTGCGAAAAAATAATTTTTTACGGAAATTGAATCCGTTCTTTCTTCTCCCGAAAAGTTTTATTTTCTTCGGATAGATAGCAGCTCCGTTTCATTCTAAATCCAATAAGCTATTTCTTCGATACAAATAAATAAAGGTTTCGAGAAATAGACCGGAGAGGAATGGCTTTTTAAGAATGCTGGAAATACTTTTCTGTTAGCAAACTCTGAGGTGTTCGTATAATATATCTGTTGCTATAAGGAAAAACGCTGCAAATCACAGTTTCAAAAAATTTTCATTGATGCATTAATTGAACTGTAGAATATACGATTTACGTACTTATCAGAAAGAAATCACGAAAAGAAATTCGACAAGCTCACAAAAATTATGCAATTTAAAGCGCTACTAATATCAAGCATTAGTGATCAGAATTTTAAGCGACAATATCTCAGAAGTGAAAACGTGTGACATTGCGGCGTTCTTCCTTGCAATCACAGATATATCGAACGAAGTGTCAAAAATCTCTGAATGACATTGAAAAAGTATATGGAACTGTCATAAAACTAAAAAAAGATTCCATAAAGTATTAATTCTAAATTGGTATGACACACACACACAGGATCCCTTATAACTCCAACAAAATTTTCTGCATACTGATTTTAGAGCCTTGGTTACAAAATATTAAGGATACTCATAAAAAGACGTTATAGTAGAGTTTATGCAAGATAAAAATTGCCTGCTTTAATTGCAAGGAATAGAAGCTGAGTAGAACGTTGTTTCTTTCTTTAATGATTCTAATAGATTAACAATAATACATTGGCGTTTGGAGATCCTTTTTATGCTTTTACTATTTCAAATTGCAGCTACTCGATTCTGCTATAAATGCATAAAATCCGTAGTATACTCATGAGTAATGTCGTTTTCTTTTCGGTTGGATAAACATTTTCATCTTTTTTATGACCGTGATTTACTATTGCATAACCAATATGTTAATTAAGTTTATCGACATTCAGTGTGTTTGTTGCGAATTTTTGAAAGAAATTGATTGTAAAGTAATAAAATAAAGGGTCAAAATTTAGACAGGTCCGTATTAGACATTTGATGCTTTATTAATTTCAAATGCCATTACTACCATTAGTGTAATTCATTTGGTGAATGTTACTGCATTGGCGTCCTCATTATTAATTTATTAGGTTGGCCGGAATGTTCTGTCGTATTTTAAATAAAACACACTCGAATCAGTTTTAATAACGTTTACTCACGTTTTAATTAATAATATAATATCCACTATATGCAACCACTCGTTGCCAGCTGTTTCAGGCAGCTTGTCGATCGACATGGACCGCAAAATGTCATCGACATTTTGGACAGCAGCCCAGATCGACGAACTTCTTTGAGACTGAAACCTCCGGAACAAAATTTGGCAAACCATCTTTGGCAGGTCCGAACATTTACAACTTCATTTCCCAACGTGTCACATAAGTTTTTACAAGCAACCGATGCGTTGCTTCTTTTCTGAAACTCGTACCACATGCAACGTTTTAAATGCACTTTACCCACTGCCATCTTATTCACTCCGTACTTCGCAACTAATTGATGAAGGGTATTGAAAGTAGTCCTCTCATATCCCACGAGAGGTACGCTAAAATAAGACCCCTCACATGACGCATTCTATCCGCTTGTCTTGACCTGACAGATAAAATTACCTGCAGGTAGTAAAATACGACAAAACTTTCCCGACAACCCAATATAAAATTTAAAAATAGTGATTTGTTGTGTTCATTAGAGGTGAAAAGTGGATTCTGTTCAGTAACATGACACCATTGATTCCAAAAAAGCTAATCGCCAGCGATATAAAAACGATATTAATTATGGGCACCCCTAATAATTACGAATTTGCTTTAAATCATATTGAATATTTAAATTTTATGGTCTAAAACGGCACAACCAAAAGTATCTCAACAAAGTATGACATTTTTGGTTGGTTTCCAGTGAGATACTTTATAGCCTAAGGTAATGTCTCAAAACGTGGCAAATTGCTTTCAGATGTATATAAAATCTATGTATGTGTGTGTGTGTGTGTTTTGCGAGGCGTGTGCCGTATGCTGAGCGAA